GGATCTCAAATTCATTCCCCAATCTAACCACCATCCCATTTTGGTAGTTAATCTCCCAGAAGCGTGCATATTAATCCAAACATGCCACTACAGAGTTCTGTAATTTTTAAATAGATTTGAGTATCAACACAAAGCTCTACCTGAAATCCAGCCTTCCATCAGCACCCAGGATCTTTATCAAGACCCAGTTATCCCTACTACCTAACCTTTATCACCATTATCCCTATTGTATAGGGCGGTATATCAAATCTAAGGTATAAATAAATAAATAAATATCCTAATGTATATTTCTCCTACAGCAGAGTCCTTCAGGAAACCCAAGAAAGAGTTATCTTGCCTAGAATCCTATGCATTTCTAGAGAACTGGAAACTGAACCCTGAATACACCCCAGTTCCTCTGCTACCTAATTATCACAGCACATCCAAAATTAGTTCTTCCCATCTTCATAAAGGACAAAATAGTATTTCCAACACTATGAAGCCAGACGTTGTAGTAACAGTGACATTCCTTGGCACCACTAATGGACTTGAGTTGCTGCAGGAAGCCAGGAAGTATGCAATCACTCTGCAGCGATTTCTACTGGATTTTCAGGACTACACAGCCATGCAAGCATATAACCACACTCCTCTAAGTGATGTAGATCTTTTCCATTCAAACGTCCAATCCTTTCAATGTATCTAAGGGCCAGGTGATATTGAAGCTACAAAACTGCCATCACCCTCATAGGCCTGGGAGTCCAATATGTTCGGACAATGGCTCAGGGACACTGGACTGAAGGAGCAATTCAGCGGACCGTAAACTAGCAAGAACTCGCTATACATCTTGCTCTCAAGACATTTCTTCCAGAAACCCTAGGTTATTATGTAACAGTTATGACAGTCATTGACATAGTGAAGGCATAACTAAATCAAGGTAAATCAATATTTCAAACTTTCTACAAGGAGACAAGGCAACAACTCCAGTGGAAAGTCTTATTCTCTCTCCCTGAAAGCACAACATTGTCAAGGCACTTTATACACTGAAAGGGACCAAATGAGTCATAGGCAGGTGGACCAAAGTAGCACTAAATTCTGACAGATTACAGACAGAAAGGATCAACTGATTCTGAACCACGTCTCAACTTTACCACAAAGCCAGCAAATTTCCTTCCACAGAAAATGATACTAATGCTGTCATTGTAAGATGGCCAATGAAACTGTTACACCCCTCCATTTTTAAAAATTTCATATCCAAACGCAGAACAAAAGAAAGGCTGTGTAGACCTACTCTCATAGTTCCATACTGGTCACAACGCATAAAATTGTCTCAGTAAATCAATCAGAAAACCATGACAGCTTCTGCCAGAGACTCTTATCTTAGGGCAACATTCCATCATACATGTCAACATAGCCCCACATGACAGTGCAGAAGACAAACGGAATATTTTTGCTAGTCTAACAAGGTACTTATCTCATATACTCAGGCACACAATCTACCCAGGAAACTTATGGGACTACATGGGGCATTCTGTTCCAAGAGGGCTTCACTTCAGTCAGGTCTAGAAAAAAGCCTTAGTGTCAGAACCTTGAAAATACCCTTATTACCCTGGTGAGCATACTTGGCAGTTAATTCCCATTTTCTTATTTTTTAAAAATAATCAGAAGGACATTACCAATCAGTCCTTACAGTTTAGCTTCCCAATGTGAAAGCTGAATATATTGGACTGTATCCAACTATCTGTAAACACAAAGCACTGACAGTTACAGATCTCTGCAATGCTTCCCTCCAGCACTCTCTTCCACCACAGAAAAGCTGACTGCCAATGTTTTGGGATCCACATGGATCCTTCCACAACCAACAGAGTTGAGGGCTGCACTGAGGAAGTGAGTGATATAGACCCTTCCTTCCTCCTCTTATCAACACTCTACCTTCCTTAGTGCATCCATCTGCCAGCCCACAAAAGCCCCACAATCCCAGGAATAAACCTTTCCAGTGTCAGAAGAGACTGTCAAGGAATGCAGCAAACATGCTGAGCCACTGGAGCCAACCCATTATTACAAGCTATTGTGGGACTTCCATTCAAACCAATGTCCAAGGTTCTCCTAGGGACTCTTCTGCTTAAGACTGTATTTTTAGTGGCAGCGTCCCTAGCTTGCGGAATTTCAGAAAAAGTACCCATCAGTTATCAAAAATATATGCAACCTTAGTCAGACCAAGTTAGTAACTGGGACACCCACATTTATCATTAAAGTCAACTCTATCTTTTACACCTCTCAAGGCACTGTCCAAACTTGTGCGCTCAAAACCACCACATCCCAGACAGAAAAAGTACCTCAAACTAAGTATCCAGTATTGGCATATTACTTGCATGGCCCTATCTGAAAAAAACACATCCTATTATTTTATTCGAATATTCTTTTGTGGGGGCGGGGGTATCTTAATCTGCTTCAGCAAACACTGCTGTCAATGACATATGCAATAAAGGAGTCCCCCCATTAGAATTTTGTAAAGAGTTGTGCGGAAATAATCCTGCCTGAGACAACAAGGCTCTTGGCTATTCCAAAGTGAACTGTTCTCTTCATGAAGAAAAAATGGACTTGCATGAAGCCTCATTCTTGTGGGTCACTAAAGAGCATTTAACCCTGCCAATATTCTGATGGGATAGCTGTGCATGGGTTTAGAGGCTTTGTCCTCTTCAAGACCTGAGAATGCAGGTATTCTTTCATGTTATGAATTGCTGTTTTACTAAGAGTTCTGCTTTTATATCCTCTTTTCCTGGTTCACCAGGAAGCAATTTTACCTCTTCTGGAAAAGAAAAAAGAACTATTGCTCCACCTATATGAAAAATATTCCAGTTCTGCCTGCAGCACTAGGAGCTTCATCCCAAAATAAACTGTTCTCTCAACACTACAAAGCACAAAAGTTTACAGTGATGTTCAATTTTTTTTAAAAAAAAGAAGTGTCTATTAGCTTAATCTCAAACATCACTTCAGATGCTGCATGCTAATCACTGCATGAGAGGCAATGCCAATCTAATCTGAAGCTTCCAGTGCTTGAAGAAATTTTACTGCAATTATTTACATTTATCCCAGGGACTGAAAATAAAAAGGCTCATCATAAGAGACTTCAGGGCCTGGGTGTACAGGTCAACCATGCCAGATTTTACATACAGAACAAGAACAGACAATGAGTAGGCACTTTATTCCACCCCCACCACTTCTCTTTTCCATTTTTACCCACTACCTATCCAGCCAAGGTCTGCAGGAGAAAAATTTATATCCAGCCTAAAGTCACTAGACAAAAACCAGCCAAGTTTAATATATATAATCCTACTAATGTAAACTGAATTTAAAGATCATTAATCTCAGGTAGATTACAATTAAGAACACAATTAGGATTGTCTATAGAAAATAATTTCTGTTTCTTCTGTCTGGTCATTTTTGGGAACACATCTGTCTTGTCCTACTTGAACCGTTATAGGGATCTAAGAACAAAGTATACTAAGTTTTGCAGAGTATCGTATTTAATTAACAATATATGAACAGTATGAGAGATACTTAGTAATCTCATGGGAAATATTCATTTAAATTATTTTGCTTTCTCAGAACTGTCCTATATGGCTGTATTAATGGTAAAAATTTGTTTTATTTAATTGAGTCAATTGTAAAAAGCTACTTGGCTCATTATGTTTGCTGAAACAATACAGTCCTGTCGATCCATCAGTACAATGGCCTGTGTATTTCAAGAGGAAAGTACCACAATTTCCTTTCCTTATTTTTGTTCACTCTGCCAAGTGAGCCATTTACAACCAGCAACAATATTTTCTAGCCAATTCCACAAAGCAGGTAAGATCTTTTACCAGACTACCTCTCCATCACACAGAGTTAAAATAATTTCTGTTTCTTCTGTCTGGTCATTTTTGGGAACACATCTGTCTTGTCCTACTTGAACCGTTATAGGGATCTAAGAACAAAGTATACTAAGTTTTGCAGAGTATCGTATTTAATTAACAATATATGAACAGTATGAGAGATACTTAGTAATCTCATGGGAAATATTCATTTAAATTATTTTGCTTTCTCAGAACTGTCCTATCTGGCTGTATTAATGGTAAAAATTTGTTTTATTTAATTGAGTCAATTGTAAAAAGCTACTTGGCTCATTATGTTTGCTGAAACAATACAGTCCTGTCGATCCATCAGTACAATGGCCTGTGTATTTCAAGAGGAAAGTACCACAATTTCCTTTCCTTATTTTTGTTCACTCTGCCAAGTGAGCCATTTACAACCAGCAACAATATTTTCTAGCCAATTCCACAAAGCAGGTAAGATCTTTTACCAGACTACCTCTCCATCACACAGAGTTAAAAACTCATATACTTACTTTGTATCTACTACCTATATACCATATTTCCACTCATGGTCAGGTATTACCGCAGTGTTCTACAATTTATAATCTAGGCTTAAATTTCACAAAGGTTCTGCTTCTGTAATTTGCTTGAGCAACAGGATTTAGCAGAACGATGCTATGCAGGATTACTTAAAAATTTCAGAGTAGTAGTCATGTTAGCTTGTTGCTACAAAAGAGAACTCTAGTGTAACTTTATGGATTAAAAGATGCATGGTCAATTCATTATACTTATAAGGGACAGACATCACTTCTCGTGTCCACTTATACCACGATAAACCAGTTCGGCTTTAAAGTTGCCAGAAGGCTCTTGGAGACTGCTCTAAGTAATCCCGATTAAGACCAATGGGCCTTACTTCTCAACAAGCACCAGCCTACGGCTCTTCTCACCAGGCCGTTAACAGGAGTACGATTTCTCTTCTCCCTCCCCCCCCCCCTTCTTCAAACCAAGCGTATAACGGACACTGTAAATAGCAACTGCAACCCAGCCGCCAATGTTCAAACACGACAACACAAACCCCACAACGCAGGCGCGCAAGTCCTCCGTAGGAGGGGGTGTGGCACAATTCAGAACGTCTCGCGCTCTCCGGGGGAGGAGGGGGGGGAAGACTGAGGGGGACATCTACGTCAGCGAGGGAAGGTAGGCCGGAATACAATGGAGGCGCACGCGCGGCCTCTTTCTTTTGTCAAGCCCGCCTTTTTGGCGGCTGCGGTTTTCAAAATGCGCTTCGCTCCCGGGCAGCCTTTTCCGTCGGCGGTAGCCGTTGGAGAATGCGCCCATGTTATCTGCCCTGAAGAGAACCACTTTGTTCAGCAGCCACCACCGCCGCCTCCCCTTTCTCACCGCCACATTCAAAATGGCGGCGGGGAGACTAAAAGTCTGTCTCTCTCTCGCGCGCGCTAAACCACCGCTTAACCCTTTCCTTCCCCCTTCCCCCTCGGAGCCCGTTAATCTCTCTGGGAGCGAGAAGGCGGGTCCGCCCACCTCGCCTCACGTTTCCCCAGTACCTCAGCGACCAGGTTGCCCAGCCGCTGCCCCCTCCCCACTCACCGGCAGCACCTCACCCACTTCCCCAGCCGATCGGCGCAAACGACAGCGCTGAACTTCCCCCACAAAGAACAAGGAAGCACTTAACGGGCGGCGGACTAACGAGCTACGCAGCTGAAGCAGACAGGATGGCGTCGGAAGCTCACGTATCGCGATAACGCCGCTGTTTGGTGACGGGAATCTCGTTCACGTAGTCCAGGTGCAGGGGACGGCGCATGCGGAATTGGAAAAAGGGGACGCGCCACGGAAACGTGGGTTTAGGTCAAGGGCCTAAAATGGCGGAGCGCATGCGCAGGTGGCGGACTGCTGAGGTGACGCGGTGGTGCCTTGGCGCCTGGAAGGCAAACCAATCCGGGATTAAGAAGGGTTTCCTGGCGCGCGGTTGGGAGCGGCGCGAGTATTCCAGTCTATTTTGAAAGGCGCGGAGCAGCCCTCGTCTCTGGAGGGAGAATTTAAAAAGGAGAAATCGCTGGCATCTGTTGTTGATAATGAAGAGGAAAAGGTTCTTGGAAAGATTCTTCCTCAAGCTGTGAGGTTAAAATCGATAAGAGCAGGGGTCTTGTTGTAGAAAAAGAGCTGCCGGAGCTCATTAGCATAACTCATTAGCATAACTTATTTGCATATGCCACGCCCCCTGACATCACCGGAAGTGACAGAAGGCCACACCCCCTGACATCACTGGAAGTGTGTCAGAAGGCCCGGCTACTTACCCTCCTGCTTCATCCTCATTCCCAAACGGAATGAGGATCGAAGCAGAGGGCGGGGTAAAGAAGGGGGCGGGGCTTCACCACGTGACCGCCCCGCCCCCTAGAGGTTCGCTTCCGGAGCTCCGTACCTGAGAGCTCCCCCCCGACTAGAGCCCTGGATAAGAGTACAGGCTGAGAGGGCCCTTTGACTTTTAAAATGTTAGCCCAGAGTGCTGATGTTCCTGCGACGTTATCCATGGAGTGGTTGAGATGCCAGCTTGTGAACACAACAGCAAAAACAACCGCTGTGAAATACAATGCTGTTCCAATAAAGGCAAAAGTAAAAAATGATTCTGTATACTCATAAAGTGTTATTGTAATGTATTATTTCCAATATTCCCTATGAGACACTCAGTACAAAAATATAGTTAGCTCCATCAGTATCAAAATGGTGTACCGAAAACCCTCACAAGGGAAAAGTCCAAGGAAGATGGATTGTTTGTTGGATGCTCTGCCAGTTACTGAAAAAGGGACCAAATTGCGGAAATGTGGGAGTCAACCGGAAGCCCCGTCTTCCTTGAACTTTTCCCTTGTGAGTGTTTTCTGTATGCCATTTTGATACTGGTGGAGATAACTATATTTTTGTACTGAATGTCTCATATGGAATATTGGAAATAATACTTTATGAGTATATAACACTTTATGAGTATATAAATCATTTTTACTTTTGCGTTTATTGCAATAGTGCTGTATTTCACAGTACACTTTATGAGAATATAAATCATTTTTACTTTTGCATTTATTGCAATAGTGCTGTATTTCACAGTGGTGGTTTTTGCTGTTGTGTTAGCTTGTGGACACAGCAGACTGTTGGTCCATCTGCTTCAGTATTGTCAAGCAAAGAAATATCTTTCTCAATTCCTGCCACTTTCAATCCTTTCATCTGTTTGTTAACTTTATAATCATCCCTTTATCCTCACCGCAATCCTGTTAGGCTGAGTGGGTGTGATTGACCCTAGGTCACCAGGTGAGCTTCCTTGGCAAAGCAGGGATTTGAATCTGGATATCCTAGATGCTAGTCAGACACTCTAAGCACTGCAGCACACTAGCTCTTTTTATGCATAGAGACTGAGCATGAGATCTTCTAGCCCTGACCTGGAGAGCCCATGCAAGCCCGATTTTGTCAGATCTCGGAAGCTAAGCAGGATAGACTTTCAAGTACTTGGATGGGAGACCTTGGAAAACCAGAGCCTGGAGACAGGGGCAGGCTTTATTCAGCCACCTCTCTGAATATCCTCCAGGCCCCCAGTAGGGCTCAGTCACCAGAGGTTGCCATGGCTTCCACATGCACACATACACATATGAAAAATACCCCCCCCCCAAAAAAAAAGAACATGGGATCTTCTGCACTGAAAGCATATGCTCATTCACTGTACAGTTTTCTCCCTCAGCCATTAGGACTATAGAAATGGCTGCTGGCTGGGTACATAATATATACACCCTAGCTCGTGAGCATGATCACACAGAGACATGGAGTAAATGTGGACTGGCACTGAAAGTTACATAAAATGGATGATTCCAGAGAGTATGGCTTTTCCCATCATAGAATTGCAGTGACAGATTCTGTAGTTAGTGAAACTTTATCTTATATGCTACATTTATTTATTTAATTTCTACCCCGCTCTCCCTGCCGAAGCAGGCTTAGGACGGCTTACATAAAATACTGGACAATTAAAACAAATTTATCTAAAATCACAACAGAATACACATAAAAACATACAAAGTGCTAGTGCTGAATGAATTCATATATGATGGCAGGTATGAGCAGCATCCAACTATACAAACAAACAATCAGTTGCCAGTGTAATCTGAGTTATATGTGGCTGATTAATGATGTTATAATAGTATTAGTAATGCTGTTAATATTGGGGCCAGGGCCTTAGTTATATAGTGTGGCTCCTTAGTCAAAGGCCTGGTGGAAGAGCTCCATCTTGCATGCCCTGCAGAACTGTAAAAAGTCCCGCAGGGCCCTGATGTCTTCCTGGAGCTCATTCCACCAGGCAGTCCCTTAGGTATGAAGGTCCCTGACCATATAGGTAGCACCTGGAGATCTCCTACTATTACAATTGATCTCTAGATGGCCAAGATCAGTTCTCCTGAAGAAAGTGGCTGCTTTGGAGGTTGGACCCCATGGCATTATACCCTACTGGAGTTCCTCCCCTTCCCAAACCCCACCCCCCTGAGGCTCCACTGCCCAAATCGCCAGGTATTTCCCAACCCTGGGCTGGCAACTCTCATGTCACATGAGGTCCTTCAGGCTCTGGGCCCAGCTGTCTTATACAGAGGTCTTTCTGTGTGGAACTTCTGGTCCCCCCTTCCTCCTTCCCAGAGCATAAACATACTCGGCCCGATGGATCCCTGAAAGCCACACAGTGCCAAAGAACTTGTACTCTTTATACTCTTCACGGAAGGGGTAAGAGCAGCTTGATGTACAAAATATCTTTGGTTGCGAGGAGTGTGAGCTGCTTTCTGCATTTTCACCTGTGAAGTGGAGAAGGATCTTGGTGTGTTTTCTTGTAGAGATGTCCTATATGAATAGCATTTACATTGCAGTGTGCTACTAAGGAGGCTTGTTTCCAGTTCTATGCACATTTATTTGGGAGCCCCATGATTTCATATTTAAATTCAGGTTTCAGTTTTGTTGTGACCTAAATCACAAGCACTGTTAAGAACTACAATATACAAAATAATGCTATAGGATACATAACAAATGCACTTCTGGCATTTATTTCCTATTTTCTCACAATGAGTAAAACCAATGATTTTTCACATTACATTTCAAATGTTCAAAGCATGTCATATAGATCATCTCAATAATACTCAAAATAACCACATAAAGTACCCAGGTTCAGTACTGCCAATAAGACTGGCGAATAATCTCTTGCTTAAGGCCATCTACAAAAATTGTGTGGCTGTACTGATTTGAACCAGGGTCTTCGCAAGCTCCTAGCCACTGTGCTGTACCAGCTGTCCATTGTCAGTGTACCCAGTATTAGATTAGGTCCTGCAAATATGCTTATTTACTTATTTGCCTGGAAGAACGCCAGGTTTGGTGCCACATTGAATAATTGAGTTTTTAAAAGTTTAATCTGTAACATGTAGGAACCAGGTCTGTCCACAATATTGGGGGGGAAATCAAATTTTTGGTATCCAGGTTTCCAAAATTCTTTAGCACTGTGTGTTAGTCACAATGCACAAGTTTTTTAAAAATTGGAGGATCTGTATAGGAGCTTAAATAACAAGAATAAAGTAAATAGCGATTCTGTTTGCAAACCGAAAGCACGTCTTGTTGCCAAGTGCTACATATAATGCTTGGATGGACACAAATCACTCTGCGCAAGGGAAGGACAAACTGGTATACATTTGTTATGAAATCTCACAAAGCATGGTTGGGCTCCACTCTAAAAAATGTCACTCAGAAAAAGAAATTACAACCATGCATTTTAGTTAGCCTTGTGATATTGAAACAAATTTAGGGTTATACAGTTGACAATAAAGTAAACCTTACTCAGGTCCTAAACCCAAATATACATACTTTGTATGCAAGTTCTGTTTGATACCAAAGGGATTTGCGGGCGCCAGCCTCCAGGTGGGATCTGGAGATCTCCTGGTGTTACAAGTGAACTTCAGCCCTCAGAGTTCAGTTCCCCTGAAGAAAATGGCTACTTTGGAGGGTGAACTCTATGGCATTAAACTAGGGATGCCAACCACCAGGGGGGAGACGGGTATTCCCTGGAATTACAGCTCATATCCAGACTATAGAAATCAGTTCCCCTGGAGAAAATGGTTGCTTTGGAGCGTGGACTGTATGGCATTGTACCCCACTGAGGTCCCTGTCCTCCCCAGGCTCCATCCCCAAATCTCTAGGTGTTTCCCAGCTCAGGCCTGGCAGCCCTAACTCCCCGTTCCCCCACTGGTGGCCTGGGGGGACCTGGCAACCCTACATTAGACCCTGATGAGGTCCTGCCTGTTCCCAAACCCCACCCTTCCCTAGGGTTGTCAGTTGTGGGGGCAGGGACCTACCCATCTAGTGTCATGACATCACTTCTGGCATGAACAGGAAGTGATTTCATTTTGTTGTGACAATACTCTGGCATGCACCTAATATTCTATGGTAAACTCCAAGGAGACTAGGTATAATTTTGGGAGATCTCCAGACCATACCTGGAGTCTGGCAACCATACACCCCCAAATCTCCAGGAATTCCCCAACCTAGAGCTGGCAAACCTAACTTAAAAGCATCTGAGTGGCTTCTAAAATACAAATTTAAATGCAACCATGGTGGTTTTTGTTTGTATTATAAAACAATTTCCCTCTAATGTTTAATATTTAAAATATCTATGATCTTGATCGGTTGTCAGCATATAGATTGTGAGCTACCAATAGCTCACCAGCGTCAGCAGAGCAGTTCATGCATCTCCTGGAAGACCCAGGAAAACACCACAAAAGATACCAATAAGTTTTCACTTCATTGGACTTTTCGCTGTGCTGCATAGCTGGTGATAGCTTTGCTTCTAGAGTTCTTCCTATTCCATGTTCTGTTTTCAGGACACAACAAAACATGGTAATTTTTTTTGGGGGGGGAGTACGTCAGGAGTAGTTCTCATTAAATATAAGGTTGGCGATCCTTGGCCTAGATCTTACGTAACCGTTATATTTCTACACTGAGCAATAGATGGAAAAAACTTCAAAATCCTTGCAGTTAATTAAATATACTGAACACCATCCATTCATTTAGGTGTTATTGTTTATTAACCTTTAAAGGTAAGAAATTCCATTTAAGCACAGGACAAAATTCTTTATAATATTATTACTATAAAGTGTGATATAAGAAAACAAAGTGGCTGTAGATAAGACTAACTGGACTTTCTTCACATTTGGTTTAATATTAACTTGGACTTTGTGAGACGGCTGGGACAGAGAATCTGCACTTTGGAGAAGGCCATTTTAGAAACCAGCCTCAGTCAAAAAGAAGGAAGAAGAATGAAGATTCCTATTTTCACCGTTGATGCATTTACAGATGAACCATTCCGTGGCAATCCTGCAGCTGTTTGTCTTCTTGAAGATGTAAGTTTTTGAAATTTCTCTTTATCCTATCCAATATTAATTTTTGTTGTGAGTGACTGATGACATTTCTGTTCATTTCAGTGAGATTTCTTGATCATTGGGAAATAAATCAAAACTCCTGAGAGCATTTATTTCTACATGAGATTTTGTGCGTCACAGCACACTTTGGCAGATATATAGGATGAAAGTTTCTGTGGGTACATAGAGCTGGGCTTTTACAAATATTCTGCCCCAAGAGATCCTTTCCACATTTGTTTGTCTGCCAGTTTGTTGCAGAGGATTTTGGGATGCATTCTAAGGGAAGCCCTCAGTTTGTTAGTGGTGTCAGACAGGACTGGAGGGTTTTTCTTTGGCCATATGCAAAATGAGAAGATGCCCATTCAGCAGCCCCCTGTAGCTATGCATTGTGACAGCAGGCCCATAGCATAAGACAAGCTGTCTTTCTGGGAAGCTTTTATACGTCTCATCTTATGGAGAGATACCTGATAAATTTCCATAAAATCCCATACATATAAGAATGTCAGAGAAAAACAGAATAACACATTGTTTTGTCTCATCCTGTGACCTTTATTTCTGCTTTTTGTCTAATCTGTTAAATCAGCGGTAGTTCATTCATCCATAAAATGATTGACCCAGTGATGCTAAAATGAGAAACCAGAAATTGTTCCATTTAAAACCTACCACACGGTGGCAGTATTTAAATGCATACCTGCTAATTGCTGGGAGTTTTTGTGTGTGTTTTTTTGCTTAGCATCGCCTTGAATAAGCTGACTGGTCTTCAACAGTCGTTTGTTTTTTTGGCTAACATCCCTATGATCCACCCTCTGTTAAGGCCTGTCTGGTATTTCTCTAGCACATTTTTGTCCTGTCCATTCTCCAAGAAGCCCAAGGGACTATGTGTGGTTCTTCTTTTCCCACTTTACCCTCTCAAGAACCCTGTAGAGTGGATTAGGCTGAGAGAGTGACCGACCCCAAGGTAACCCAGCGAGCATCCATGGCAGAGTGGTGATTTGAAGCTGGGCCTCCCAGATCCCAGTCTAACACTGCCCACTACACTGTGCTGGCTCTCATGGTACTTAAAAGTCTGTCGCACAAAAACAAAAAACAAAAATCTTTGGGCTAGTCACAATCCTAGTGAATATTGAAGAGGATAGTTTCCTGGTAACAGAGATCCTTGATATGGGTAACCCAAGGCTAATTTTGGGATTTTGAGTGCCTTGTTTTGAAAAATATAGTTTTGGGTTGGGCACCATATTAGGGCATCCTGAAGGGGAGACACTGTGTATGGTTTGGGATGGTGCAAATATTACTTTGCTGTACAGAACTGTGCAAGTTTCAGATTCTTATTCTTAAGGAAATGCGAACCAGAAACCGACTTTAGCCTTGTGACTAATGATGGGCTCTTTCTTTGTCAGACATATTTGTCAGGAAACTTTTCTAGACATATGAACCACTCCATCTTTCCTGTATCTACTTCATTTTTCTTTTAGGAACTGGAAGAAGGCTGGCATCAAAAAATCGCAATGGAAATGAAACTTTCAGAAACTGCATTCATTCGAAAATTGCATCCAACTGACAACTTTACCAAAAGTAAGCCCCTTTTAGTTACACCGGCTCAAGTGACAGTTTTGTTAAAGGCTTTAGTAGAAAGTAATATTCTCTGTTTATTGATGAAGGATGATACTTTAGCAGACCAGGTGAAACAATGACTTCTTAGGGCATATCCGCACCAGATTGAAACTGGTTTAATAGTTAATATGATCCACTGGAGAAGGAAATGGCAGAAAGAGTGAAGCGGCTGGGCCAAAGCCGAAAGGACCCTCAGTTGTGGATGTGTCTGATGGTGAAAGGAAAGTCCGATGCTGCAAAGAACAATACTGCATAGGAACCTGGAATGTAAGATCTATGAATCAAGGTAAGCTTGACGTGGTCAAAAATGAGATGGCAAGACTGAACATCGATATCTTAGGAATCAGTGAACTTAAGTGGACAGGAATGGGCGAATTTAACTCAGAAGACCATTATATCTACTACTGTGGCCAGGAATCTCGTAGAAAAAATGGTGTGGCCTTTATAGTCAACAAGAGAGTGCAAAAGGCAGTACTGGGATACAATCTCAAAAATGACAGAATGATTTCTGTCCGATTCCAAGGCAAACCATTCAACATCACAGTAATTCAAGTGTATGCCCCAACCACTGATGCAGAAGAGGCTGAAGTGGACCGGTTCTATGAAGACCTACAACACCTCCTAGGACTAACACCAAAAAATGATGTCCTCATCATCATAGGGGACTGGAATGCTAAAGTAGGAAGTGAAAAGGTAACTGGAATAACAGACAAGTTTGGCCTTGGAAAGCAAAATGAAGCAGGGCAAAGGTTAACAGAGTTTTGTCAAGAGAACACACTGGTCATAGCGAACACCCTTTTCCAACAACCTAAGAGGCGACTCTACACATGGACATCACCAGATGGGCAACACTGAAATTAGATTGATTTCATCATTTGCAGTCAAAGATGGAAAAGCTCTATCCAGTCAGTAAAACCAAGACCTGGAGCTGACTGTGGCTCAGATCATGAGCTACTCATTGCAAAATTCAGACTTAAACTGAAGAAAGTTGGGAAAACCACTAGGCCATTCAGATTTGACCTAGATCAGATCCCTGATTAATATACAGTGGAGGTGAAGGGACTAGATTTGTTAGACAGAGTGCCTGAAGAACTTTGGACAGAGGTTCGTGACATTGTACAGGAGGCAGCAATCACCACCATCCCAAAGAAAAAGAAATGCAAGAAAGCAAAGTGGCTGTCTGATGAGGCTTTACAAATAGCAAAGGAAAGAAGGAAAGCAAAAGGCAAAGGTGAAAAGAAAAGATTTACCCAACTGAATGCAGATTTCCAGAGAACAGCGAGGAGAGATAAGGAGGCTTTCCTGAATGAACAATGCAATGTAATAGAGGAAAACAATAGAATGGGAAGGACTAGAGATCTCTTCAAGAAAACTGGAGAAATCAAGGGAACATTCCATGCAAAGCTGGCCATGATAAAGGACGAAAACAGTAGAGACCCAACAGAAGCAGAAGAAATTGGGGAAAGAGGGCAAGAATATACAGAAGAACTATACAATGTTAGCCGAATTGCTTTATCTACAGCAATTGGCAATTTAGATGGGTTCTTGCCAGTGTCTACCAAGGTCCAGTTCCCACCAAGGGTTACCAGTAAAAGGAGTCGTGGCTGATGTTGTTCAAAATAACTGTCTTTTACTTAAGAAAATAAATCACAAAAAACATTTAAAACTCAGAGTGAAGGTTTTGCTCAATTCAATTCAAACCTCCAAAGACAAAATGCATATCTTCACATAAAAAGGTAAAGGTAAAGGTTCCCTTGCTCGAAAGCCAGCCGAATCCGACTCTAGGGTTGCGGTGCTCATCTCCGTTTCAAAGCCGAAGAGCCAGCGCTGTCCAAAGACGGTTCCGTGGTCATGTGGCTGGCATGACTAAACACCAAGGCGCACGGAACACTGTTACCTTCCCACCGAAGTGATACCTATTTATCTACTTGCAACTTCTTGCTTTCGAACTGCTAGGTTGGCAGGAGGTGGAACTAGAGATGGGAGCTCACTCTGTCATGCGGCACCCGGGTCTCGAACTGCTGAACTACTGACCTTCCACAGCCTGCAGTTCAGCATCTTAACCACTTGAGCCACCACATTATCATAATCTTAATTCTTATAGGGCAAGAAATTCCCATGCAGGCAAGAAATATGCACATTGGGACTATGCAGTAATTTCTGTCAGTTTGAGAACACTTCCCTCTGTGTTTGAGTCAGTTCAACACTAAAATGTACCTGAACATAGACTTCTAAAGTGAGTTAAATCGATTATTTCTACACTGAGCAGGAATTTAGTAGTATTCAATTTATATATAGCAGAAACATCCTTAAACTTTTTAGTTGACAAGCATTAATCCCTTTATCTTGTGAGATAAGTTGTCTTATCTTGTGAGATAAAGTTGTCTTGTGAGATAATCCCTTTATCTTGTTCCCCCAAGAGCGCTACGGTCGGGGTCGCAGCACCTACTGGTGTCCCCAAGGACATCAAGCTGGCTGCAACCAGGGCCAGGGCTTTCTCGGCGGCAGCTCCTGTCTGGTGGAATGAGCTCCCAGTGCAGGTTCAGGCCCTGCGGGACCTGGCGCAGTTCCGCAGGGCCTGCAAGACGGAGCTCTTCTGCCAGGCCTTTGCATAGGAGCCGCCGCCGCCACTGTACCACCACCAAGTTGCCATCTTCGACGGAGGATTACATCTGGAGGTGAGCTGGCCCTGGGCAGACGGCTAGTCAACCGAAGAATGTATGTTGTCAGGTTAGGTTGATGAATGGAACTCATCTTGGATTAGAAAACTTGAACATCAAGAGCACCGCACTTTATTTAATGATTGTTTTATACTGTTTAATGATTGCTTTTATGTTGTTTTAACTGTTGTAATGGCAATTGCCTCTGTTGTAGCCGCCCTGAGCCCGTTGGGGAGGGCGGGGTACAAATCAAATAAATAAATAAATTGTGAGTGTTGCCACCAGTGTTCCCTCTAAGCTGAGTTAGTGTGAGCTATCTCACAATTTTTTAGCCTCTGGCTCACACATTTTCATCTTAGCTCAGGCAGGATGGCTCCAGAGCAAACTAATTTATGCAGTAGCCAGATTGCTCACTCACAACTTTAATGCCAGGAGCTCACAAAGTAGAATTTTTGCTCACAAGACTCCACAGCTTAGAGGGAGCATTGGTTGCCACCCTCCAGTTTAGGGCTGGCAGCCTCCATGGGAGGCCTGGAGATCTCCTAGAATTACAACTGATCTCCAGACTGCAGAGATTATTTTGTCTGGAGAAAATGGCTGCTTTGGAGGGTGGACTCTATGGCATTGTAGCCTACTGAAGCCCCTCCCTCCCCCAATTCCCAGCCCCCCAGGCTCCACCCACAAGTCTCCTGGAATTTCCCAACCCAGAGGTGGCCAGCATGGTGTAGTGGTTAAGAGTGTCAGACTAGGATCCGGGTGACCTGAGTTTGAATCCCAACTCTGCCATTAGGGTTGCCAGCTCTGGGTTGGGAAATACCTGGAGATTTAAGGAGTGGAGCCTGAGGAGGGTGGGGTTTTGGGGAGGGGAGGTACTTCAACGGGGTATGAAGCCACAGAGTCCACCTTCCAGAGCAGCCCTTTTCTCCAGGTGAACTGATCTCTGTTGCCTGGAGATCAGGTGTAATAGCAGGAGATCTCCAGCCACCACCTGGAGGTTGGCAACCCTATCTGCCATGGAGGCTTGCTGAGTGACCATGGACCAGTCACACACTTTTGTTGGTGGGTGCTGGGGTGCCCATGGGCGTGCCACGTTGGGGATAACTGGCTGAGATTTTTCTTGTACTTTTTCAAACAAGGACATGCCAGTGAAATATATTCTCTTAGGGTTAACTATTGGTAGTTTTGAAAGCATGATTCATCTTACAGGGGCCCAGTTCAGATGTAACATGACACCATGATTGAATTAAACTGACTATGATAAGTTAGTGTGAATGCAGACATCCTGTGCAAAGCCGTAATGCCTGGTTTAATCCTGGCGTATTCTCTGACAATGCCCCCCCCAGGCATCAGAGTGAAGAAAGTTAAGCTGGTATTTTTCAAGGCAACCCAGGATCTGAATGATGGTCTGCAAGCTGAATCTCAGTTTTCATGAACTAAGCATAGTTAAACTATTAAGAAATTAAGAGGATCTCTATGGAATCAGACCATTGGTCCATCTAGGCCAGCATCCTGTCTCACACAGATGGTGGATTCCCCATCACCCAGTCTTGCCCCCCACCACTGATCAGCTAGCTGATGGGGGAACTTACCAGGAGAGGGAGGAAGGCCCAGGCTATCTTGCCAATGATGTGGCAACGTCACTTTTGGCTTGCACCAGAGGTGACACCATCATGTTGGCCCCATCACAGCGACACTCTGGTATTTGGGCAAAAACTCTATGATAGAAGTCATTTTTACCATAAAGTTTATGTCCAAATACCAGAGTGTCGCCATGACATCACAAGCTGGAAGTGATGTCAGTGACATTGCCTGCACCTTCTGCTCCTGGTAAGCCCCCCCCCCCAATCCACTGCCAGTTGCCTGGTCCCTAGTTAAGACAAACTGGTTAAGGCAACTTCCGTTCCTTGCATCAGATCCTGGTTTGATGTGCCCTAATTAACCATACTAAGTAGAGTGCCCTGCATTCAAGCTATTGCACTAACTATAGGCCCTGGTCAGACGGGCCGGATATCGCGGGGGGAGGCGTGGCTAATTGCCCCTGAGGAAACTAATGTGCGGCCGCCCGAGCACACGTCCCGGTCGAGGTCCCGTGGTTAGGGGGGAGATGCCGACCAGACGGGTATCCTGCAGCGCGGCACAGAAGCCGTGCCGCACGATTGCACTAGCAATCGCTCTTTGTGCGCATGCGCTGTTGGGCGCTGTTGCGCAACTTGCGGAGACTTGGGAGACAAAAAAACCCCTTGTGTGCGATGAACAGCGGCGGGCACCGGATGCCACATAAGTCCACCGGAAACGTGATCAGATGCCCGCCCTTGCCCTGTGGCTTCCGGAAACTAGTACCTCGGAGGTACTAGTTTTTTACTCCGCATCTTCAGCGGGAAGCCTCGGGTTAGCCATGGGAGCTCTACGCTTCCCAGATGTTGCGGTGTGATCGTGCCCGGAAAATCCGCCTACCATCCGTATCGTCAGTGTGGCAAATGCTCCATGTGACTAGCCATAGTTAGTTTAATTAAACAATTCAGACGAGCCACTGATTGCATACATGACTAACACCTTTCCCCCCCTCCTCTCTTTAGGTTCTCGCTTTGGATTAAGATGGTTCACTCCAACCAACGAGGTCCGTCTCTGTGGTCATGCTACCCTGGCATCAGCTGCAGTGTTATTTCGAAACAAGAGTAATGAAAATTTAGCTATATATTTGATACTGTAAGCCCTTTTTGTCTTAAATGTTATATATATGTTTCTGATTTTCACAACAGAGAACGTGAATTCATCCCTCACTTTCGTAACTCTGAGTGGAGAATTAAATGCCAGACAGGCAGGGGGTCAAATTATCCTGGACCTACCCCTTTACTCGGCCTACCCACAGGTTAGATTTAAATTGTACATTACACAATTGTCAACATTTCTTCCAAAGAAGAGAGACAAAACCATCATTTACATATATACCTTTTCCTCACTAGGATTTACAGGAAGTGGAAGAATTAGTAAAGGTAATTTTGTATTCCTAGTATTACAATGTCCTTATAACTGTGCAACTACCAAATTAGGCATAAATTCTGGACCAAATACTTGCTTCATGCATGCAGAGTTTACTTTCCATTTGTCATATCAGCCTGTATATAACAAGTATGCCACCATGCTCTATCTGCTTAATATTACAGAAACACAGTTTGCATAGTAAATGAGTGAAATGGATACAAGCATTCTCATTTAGGGCAGCGCCCCCCTGCCAACAGTCACATAGGTACTCTTTCTTAATAGCACATTTGTCCAAATACCAGAGTAGGGACAGCCAGTGTGGTCTGGTAGGTGGAGTATTGGAACCAGACTGGGGAAACCTGGGTTTAAAGCTTCCCTTGAGAATGAAGCTCACCAAGTGACTGGGCCAATCACACTCTCTCAGCCTAACTTACATCACAGGGTTATTGTAAAGATGAAATGTAACAATCTCCAAGTCTAAGTCTTGACCTGGGTGGTCCTGGCCAGGCCAGTCTCATCAGTTCTCAGAAGCTAAGCAGGGTCCGCTCTGGTTTGTACTTGGATGGGAGACCATGAAGGAAGTCCAGAGACAGTCACCTGTGACTCGACGACACTTTTCACCGCCCTCGGTGCCTTGAACAAAAATGGGATACGAATGTGATTATATATATATAGCTATAAGAACAATTCATAGAAAACAGAGGAGATAGGGGAGTAGAGACTGAGGTCCATGAGTAGGGCCAGGTTAGGGCAAGAAGGAGGAGGAGGCCAAAAGGAAATGGCCAGTAAAGAAGGGCCCCCCTCCCCCCGGCCATGGAAAGCCTCTCTCAAATTGACCTGAGCAATGACCCATGCAACTCGGTCGCTTCATGTTTTCTCAGCAAACCAGGGGGAGTCCCAGGAAGGAAACAGGACATCCCACTGGGTTCCATTACCTCTTTCTATGTTTTGTTTGGACCATCTGGCGAGAGTACCCAATCTTTGCCTTCACATGTGAGCTTTCTGTGCCTCTGGAGCACGTGCATCTTCCTACAGGAGGAGGTGCATTGTCTGAGCAGAACAAGTCACTGGCATTTCCTCCAAGGGGTCAGGAAGGACTGCGTCCCCAGTATGAAGCCAACTGTCTGCTGAGCCTACGGCATGATCAGTGGCTGCAGTGACCTGAGTACATCATGATGCTCTGCTCTGGGGCTGCCAACTCCCCCTTACCCGTATTTGTCTTAGAATTTCTGGAGCCATCCTTGGGCCCCTTTAATTCCAGTCGAAGTTAATTGCACATAGCCATTTGTATCTGATTCTCTCTTTATCTTGATTGTGATGAACAGCAGCTTGCTTTCGGACGCATGACCTTTTTTAACCCTGGCTATGCAGAAGAATCTGCCCTGCCTGTTGAGTCTGCCATGCTTTTCCCTGTGGGGTCACAAACCGTCTTGCAATATGTGCCCTTTAATTGAAAGTGTCACATTGACGAGAATGGATAATGATATGGTTACATTGTACAGAAGTGTCATGAACGAATTGTCTTTTTGGTTTATTTTTTTCACCAGGTAGCTGTAGGTAATATAAATGTTCAAGACGTTCGCTATTCTCCTGACACTAAGAAGCTCCTTGTTCGCCTTAGTGACACTTATGAAAGGTATGCATACTTTCAGGGCTGGTGTCAGCGCACTCTGAGGTGGGGCAGCAGCCAGGGCCTAGGACATCTTGTGGGGCCCACTGCCACTGACCTCGCCACCCCCGCCACCCATGCACCCCCCCGTTGTCTGTCTGTACCTGTGCTTCCCACTGCCCAGTGTCTTTAGGGAAGGGCGTGTGGATGGTACACAGTGGTGGCACTCTTGGTGGCAATGGCAGCAGCACTCCCAGTGAGTGTGCAGGTGGTGGAGGCAACCGAGCAGGGCAGTGGGAGGGCTTGCAAGTGGGAGAAGGATGCCCAGGGCATGGAGGTATGAGGGTGGAAAGGGGGGCATGAGGGGGGCCCTGGTGGTGAGCAGGTGGGGTCCCCTGGCCAACATCTGCCCAGAGGCCCCCCAGACCTGGAACTGGCCCCACGTACTTTAGATTCTAATTTCTTCATATGGTTCTGGTACCCCATCTCCTCCGCTTCGTGTGTTCTTCTGTTTGTGTCACTGAAGAATCCACAGTATTAAGGAATGCTTCTGCCACTGGATTCTACTTCACATTTGGTTTAGCTGTTTCATGCTTCCTGAGCACAGAGCGTGGGGCTAGAATGTCCTTTTTCCCTTCATTTGTTGCTTATTATAATTTTAAAGTTAAAAAAGAGCTCTGTCAAGAATCACTATCTTCTTGTTGTTAGAAGATAAAAATAAACTTTCTTTCTGATGTGCTAGTTTTCTATATGCAGGGAGGCTTTTTTTTTAAAGTATGAGAGAGTATTCAAAAATCATATCCCACATTTTGGTCACTTGCACACAGGTTGTTTGCCTTGGCTAGGATGCTGTTGGGAAACAGGAGAACACTGAGTCCAGTGGCACCTTTATGACCAAAAAAGTTTTATTCAAAGTGTAAGCTTTCATGTGCAAAGCATACTTCTTCAGTCAAATTGGAATAAAATCTCCTCAAGGGCTATTTATAGGGGAAAAGAGGGTGGGGCAGCCATTAGGAGTGGCCACTCAGAGCCAAGACGCACAGCACATGCAGAGCTGAAATTGGATCAGGTGGCCTGTAAGATCAATGGATGGCAGCAAATTGGCACGTAAATGCAAGAGTTAACAAAGAGATGTGAGAATGAAGCGAGAGTCCAGCTTTCCTGCTCCCCCACAGCATTGTGGAGCTTCTGTATAAGAGGGCTGTTCCTATCTTTTCTGTGAGCTTTCTAAAATCTATTTTGCTGTAATATTTTGAGGAAGAACTCAACTAAGCCTGAGAGGAACACCCATGTGGGTAGGAAGGTCTTCATCTTGGGTAGGTGCTGTGCCTCAGTGGCAGAGTATCTGCTTGGTATGTAGAAGGTCCCAGGTTCAATCCCCAGCATCCCTGATTAAAGGGATCAGGAAGCAGGTGATGTGAAAAACCTTGGAGAGCCACTGCCAGTCTGGTTCAGTATAAGGCAGCTTCATGTGTGCTCCTGGGTGTCCATCTTCCCAGTCTCATCCACATTGGTTCCATTTTCCCTGCCCCAGTCCCCCGCAGCAGTCATTACTCCCCCCCCCCCACATCAGAAGGCTTTTTTGTTTTTGTTTTTTAATCAGGAATAGACTAGTATTATAGCCTTATGATGTGATATCATTCTATCAGGTTCTCTGAATTACCAGTGTTCTTTGTTTTAAGCCACTTTTGCCTTTCCCCTTAAATCTCTGCAATAAAAGGGCCAGCCCCCCACTTTTGTAATGAAAGCTGGGAATTCAGAGAACCTGACCGTACTGTTATGATTTCATCATGCTATAACAGGATTCAATAGCTGATTTATTTATTTTTTTAAAAAAAGAAAAGTCCTAGAGGGAGACTGAGGCAGGGGGAATTTTGGGAATGGAACATGGAAGCACAGTTGACATGGGCCAGAGGATTTCCACCTGTGGAGCATGACTTTCTTGCCTCCCCCTCCCACTGCAGCCTCAAATACCCCCTGGAATGTGGTTACTGGGGAACCAGTGGAGGCAAGAAAGTAGTTCTTTTTGGGCAGAAATCCTTCTGCTCACAGAGGCACTCTGCTGGGTCCAAACCACTTGTCACACTCAGGTGGGGTGTCACCTGACGCTGCTACCACTCTGGTTCCAGGCTCTCTTGAGAAGGCCCAGAGCACCCTCCCAAGACCTTCTGACCTCCCTTTTGGCCGAATAATAGGTGTGAGGACCAGGCAGAGTGAACAATGAAAATAGTTTATTGAATAAGAGGTCAAACAAACAAGGTGAAGAAATATAAGAGTAAGTGAGTGAAAAGAAAAATCAAATGCCCTAACGCGTCTAAATATATACTGTCCCTAGCTCACTATTCCAAGTGGCACTAGACTACTCACCCTTCTCTCAGGATGAGGGTCTCTTCCTTGCAGCAGCCTTCCTTCTGGCTCTGCCCTCTGGGAAAAAGAACAGCTTTTCCTGCTGCTCCAGATTTTTTATTCCAAGCCCTCCTCTTTTCCTATTGGTCAATTTTGGCTCCAAAACCTCTCAGGGGCTTCTAGGAGTTGTAGGCCCAGCCTCACCTACTGCTAGCCAGGCTCCCTGGACCTAGTAGGCCTCTGGTGGCACAGCCCAGATCATTACACCACTGCTTAATGAGATGCTATCTATATATCTAATAGCCAAGTTGCCCCCTCCGTGTGGATATCTAAATCCACACATCGAGGGCACTTGGGGGGCAGAGAGTCCCCAGGTGTGCAGAAAAATCTTAAAAGTTGAAAAAAATATACAGGGGATACTTAAATCCCCCCCAAAGTAAAAGAGCATTCTCTGCACATGCGCAGAGAATGTTCTGGCCGTTGGGGGGGGCTCAGCAGCCCCGACAGCTGGGAGCCGCTCAGGCCTCTCCGACTGTGCCGGGGGGAGGGAGTGGGAGAAGGCTCGGCAGACCTGTGCAGCTCACCACCGGTGCGTGGTGGGGTGGGGAAGAAGGATTGGCTGGCCCGGCAGTTGGGAGTCTCGTGGGCCTTGCCGTCGGTGCTGGGGGGGTTGGGAGGGAGAAGGTTTGGCGGGCCTGGGCCTCGCCGTCGGGGTGGGTGGGGGAGAAGGCTCACCTGTGGCTGCTTTCTCCTCCTCCATGTGGAGCTCCTCCCCCCCACGAGTATCGCGGGTCCCCGCTTCTTGTTGAATCTGAATGTCAAAGGTTATGGCACTCAATCCTCAGGGGAGAAGAAGTGGGATATATGAACCTCTTGAATCTGGGCTTCTTCCTTGACATGTGCTATTGACTATTTTGGATGATGAAATTTGTCTCTATAGAGAACATACCTTCATTGGAGCTTTGGTCTAATGTTTCCATCTCTGCCCGGTCTCCCCAATGTCTCAGTTTGTTGTTGTCCTCACTGTGATTTTCAGCCCTTAATTTACTTACAAATGTAACTTCATCACTCACACAGGATAATTAGCACCAATATAGTAAATGAGTTTATTTTTAAAAATAACTGATGAGTAACAGTCAACAGAAGGCCTTTCCCCTGCTATCCCGAGACCCTCTTTCCACAGACGGTGTTTTTCTGACTATAACCCGTCAACATTCCAAACTCTCAGAACTTCCCCAAACTACTTTGCAATGCCTTACAGATTAAAAACACATATCTTATTTTTTAACACTGAAGGTCTGATTTGGAGAAACTAAATGTGAATTCCCAAGAGCTTTTGCAGACTGAGACAGCTAGAAAAGTGGAAGGATTAATAGTCACACTTAAAGGAAAGGCTGGTGGAAAACTTGAAAGCCACGACTTTTATTCCCGCTACTTTGCACCCTGGAATGGAGTTTCAGAAGATCCTGTCACAGGTTTGTTTGCACATGCATGAAGGAATTGGTCTCATTTTTATTCAGTGTGGGTAAATGACTCCAGCTTGACACTTTATTATGTAGATGAATTGCTCTGACCACATCCTCTACCGTGAATCTTATGGCAACTTAAAATCTAACCCTTTTATTGCCACGCAAGCACTTATTGGCATCTATTGAATTGTGAATAAAAGCTCATGTCACATATACCTTTTTAGATGCCGCAGGGCCATTGGGCGTTAAGCACCTTGGTTTTAACACACTACAGAGCTTTTGTGTGGCGTGGGGGGGGGGAGATTCTAATGACTTCTAGAAAGACTTAAGGAATGAAATGGGTAATAAACGCCTTTCAGAGACTGCAAAACTGTACATCTTCTCTCACATGCAGCCTCCTGCTTGGGCAAAGAACAATCCCCCTTCAGCCCAGAGGCTGTTTTAGCTCCCAAAAACAGCCTAAGGAGGAAGGCGCCCCTGGTGTGCTTGGACACAGGAATTACCACCAGGAACTCACAGCTGCAATATGGCTGCCAGTCCCTGTTGGCAACTTGTGAGTAGTTTAGGCCTACGTTGAGCAGCAGAGGAAGGAAGCAGTGCTGTGGTCGTGGGGAAGACCTGACCCCAGCTGCTAGCATGGGGGGAGGTTAGTTCTCACTGGTGGGGATCCCACCAGGGGCATAATTAGGGCTGCCAAATCCCCCCGGGGGGTGGATTTCCCCCCGCTTTGGAGGTCCGATTTCCGCCCCCGGGGGAAACCCCACCCCCGCGTACACGTCACAGGAAAGTGACGTGGGGACGCCGGGGACGCTGGGGGCAGGGCATAGCCATTTGAGGGGAAAACTCTATGTTTTCCACTCAAATGGCTGTGCCCCGCCCCCAGCGTCCCCGGCGTCACCACGTCACTTCCCTGTGACGTGCATGCTGCCGGGAGCCAGCACAAAGTCCCCCGCCGGCAGAGGTAAGTTGATTTGGCAACCCTAGGCATAATGTATGTGTGGGAATACTCTGCAGCCCAACCCGGCACTGGGGTGAATTCTGGTGAGAGAAAATAATAGTAGGTTGTCTTGCAGTGCTGTTGTAAAAGTTCCTGAAATAAAGTTTGTAAACTGAGAAAAGGAATTATTATTAGTAGCAGCAGTTAGTATAACAACCACCTTTTTTTTTTTTAAAGGATCTGCTCATGCTGTTTTAAGTAGTTACTGGTCAGAACAACTGGGGAAGGAAGAAATGTGTGGTAAGAGCACCTTTTACAAAGGATATCCTTTTGGGGGCTGCAAATTTTAATGAATGATAGTTCCTTCTTGATTAATTGAAGGGCTGAGAACAAGCAAGGATGCAAGACTCTTTTTTAAAAAACTGACACACCTGAATTATTTTGCAAGTTTCTCTGCAGTTACTCCCCCACCCCACCCCGGGTCCGTTTGTGTGTTTCTGGTGCTTCTGCATGCACCCAGCTCTCCAAGCCAACCATACCTAATACAACAAATGAGAGAATGGAATCATGAGAAAGTTGTTGTTGTTCAGTCGCACAGTCGAGTCCGACTCTTCGCGACCTCATGGACCAGATCACACCAGGCCTTCCTGTCTTCCGCCATCCTCTGAAGTTTGCTCAATTTTATGTTCATTCCATCTATGACACTGTCTAACCATCTCATCCTTTGCCGTCCCCGTCTTCTTTGACCTTCGATCATTCCCAGAATCAGGGTCTTCTCCACTGAGTGCTCCCTTCTCATTTGGTGGCCAAAGTATTTGAGCTTCAGTTTCATTATCTGGCCTTCCAGGGAACAGTCAGGGTTGATTTCTTTTGGGATTGACTGATTTGATCGTCTTGCAGTCCAAGCGACTCTCAAGAGTCTTCTCCAGCACCATAGTTCAAAAGAATCTCTTCTTCGGCGCTCGGCCTTCCTTATAGTCCAACTCTCGCAGCCATACATGACTACTGGGAATACCATTACTTTGACCATGTAGACTTTTGTTGGCAGAGTGATATCTCTACTTTTTATCATGCTGTTTAGGTTCGCCATCGCTTTCCTCCCAAGGAGCAGGCGTCTTTTAATTTCATGGCTGCTGTCACAGTCTGCGGTGATCTGGGATCCCAGGAACATGAAGTCTGTCACTACTTCCACGACTTCCCCTTCTATTTGCCAAGGAGTGATGGGGCCGGATGCCATGATCTTAGTTTTTTTGATGTTGAGCTTCAAGCCCACTTTTGCGCTCTCCTCTTTTACCCTGAGCAAGAGGCTCTTATGGTCCTCCCCATCTCTTTAAGGACCTGCCATAGTTTGTTGTGATCCACACAATCAAAGGCTTTAGCATAGTCAATGAAGCAGAAGTAGATGTTTTTCTGGTACTCTCTTGCTTTCTCCATAATCCAGCGAACGTTGGCAATTTGATCTCTAGTTCCTCTACCTCTTCGAAACCCAGCTTGTACTTCTGGCAGATCTTCGACGTGGTCTCTGTGCTTCACACCCATGGGATCTAGTGCGCACGTGCTGGATCGATCAGCCATTGTAGCAAGCTCTTTTAATGGATTTTCGTGCCCAGACCTTGGGCATGCGCAGGAACTCCACCGCGCATGCCGAGAGGGGAGGGCGCGGAGATCCCGCCAGTTCCTTTCTTACCACCGCGTTGGAAAGACCTCTTTCTCGTCGGTCTGATTGGTTCTCTTTTTTGGCATTTGCCTCACGGCTCTTCAGATTTTTCCTCACTTTATCCTTTTTTCTTCAGTGTTTCTTTGTTTGTTCTTTAGAAAAACTTTAAAACAAAACAAAACTTTATTTTACAACTGAGGGGGAAGTGGCCGGTTTGCCTCAGTGTGGCCTTCAGACTACCCCCCCACCCCTTCTTTCTTCTTTGCTGTTTATTTTTATGGAGAAGAAGTGGGGCCAGAAGTCGATCCCCCTGAGTCTTTCTCCCCCCCCACCTCTGTCTTGGGATCAACAACAGCTTAGGTATCTTTATGGGGGTTATCCACTATCCACGCCATGGCTGACTCCGGTGGGATATTCCGACTGGGATCGTTATTCGTCCCACTCTGCCCACAGAGTTATTCAAAAGGAAGGCATGGTGTTGGCAAAACAGCAGATCAACACTTCAAAACATGCCCTAGACGCCGCCTCAAGAATGATGGCCTCTGCAGTAGCTCTGAGGAGACATTCCTGGCTCCGTAATACCAGTCTACCTATAGCTACTAGGTCATACGTCGAAGATCTTTCATTTGATGGCCTCGGTCTCTTTAACAGCACTACCGATTCTATACTCCAGGATATGGATAAGAGTATAAAGGCTTCTCGGGCCCTGGGAGTGTAATCCTCTGCGAGACAACAATACCGTCCTTGCACCTGGTCCAGGCCCTGGCAAAGGCGTACCCCAAATTGTCAGTCTCCTGACTGACAATGGAGACCGTGGACTTCTCCAGGAGGCCAAAAACCAACCTTCCAAAAACCACGCTTTAGATCCGGGCAAAACTCTTCCCGCAACAAACAGGCAAAACCCTCCAAACAGGGCTTTTGACTTCCCTCTTCCCGCACCAAACAGGCAAAACCCTCCAAACAGGGCTTTTGACTTCCCTTTTACCGAGTCAGTTCAAACCCGTCTATCACCCTTCACACCTGGCGTCATATCACCTTGGACGAATGGGTGCTGTCCATCTTGACCCGAGGCTACCGTACGAACAAGGTCAGCACATAAACTTCCTGGAACTGCTTGCAATACAGTTCGCTGTCAAGAGTTTCCTACCACTAATAAAGGGGAAATGTGTTACGGTCCTCACGGACAACACCACTGGACTCGCTTACGTCAACAAGCAAGGAGGCACGGTCTCCCTACGTCTCTGCAACCTTGCTTTCCGCATGGTGTCCCTGCAACAGATTATGCCGCTCCTCCGAAAATATGTCTGGATGGCCACCCTCGACCTCCAAGACTCGTACTTCCACCTCACCATCCACCCCTCCCACCGCCAATACCTACACTTCGCAATTGCTCAACAGCATTACCAATATGCGGCCCTGCCATTCGGCCTGTCAAGCGCCCCAAGGGTCTTTACAAAGACTATGCTTGTCGTTGCAGCCTTTCTCCGTCTCAGGGGTATTTCCATCTACCCCTAAATCGATGATTAGCTCCTGGTAGTGCCTTCAAAGAACGCCCTGGTCTCAAACATCACCGAGACATTGACACTATTAGAAAATTTAGGGCTCCAGGTCAATCACGAAAAGTCTCATTTGCGTCCAGTCCAAATAATACAGTTCAGTCACGGCTTTCCAAATTCAGAGGCTTCTTGGCCTCATGGCCACAACTACGTCGGTCCTCGTCTTTGCCAGACTAAAGATGCGTCGTCTACAACTGTGGTTTATCTGCAAGTATGTCCCAACGAAAAACGCACATACCGTCCTAACCCCTCCTCCCAACATACGAGACTCGTTCCTTTGGTGGACTGTCCCTTCCAATCTCTTCCAGGGAGCACCTTTCCATCCTCCATCACCCCAAATCACTCTGACCACGGATGCTTCCCTGTCGGGCTGGGGTGCTCACATGATGGGCATGTGTGTAGGAGGCAAGTGGAACACCCACGAACAAGGTCGACACATAAACTTCCTGGAACTGCTTGTAATACAGTTCGCTGTCAAGAGTTTCTTACCACTGATCAAGGGGAAATGTGTTACGGTCCTAATGGACAACACCACTGCACTCGCTTATGTCAACAAGCAAGGAGGCACGGTCTTCCTACGTCTCTGCAACCTTGCCATCCAGTTATGGGACTTTTGCATCACCCACAACATCTTCTTGATAGCCACGCACATCCCAGGACACATGAATGTGCAGGCAGACCATCTAAGTCAAGCAGGGCTCAGTCTCCACAAGTGGGAAATGAACCCAACCTACCTCCTCCCACTCTTCCGCAGGTGGGGAGCTCCCCAAGTTGATGTTTTTGCCACCAGAGCCAACAAAAAATGTTCTCTGTTTTGCGGCCAAGGAGGCAGGGACTCACGTTCTCTAGGAGATGGTCTCCTTTATCCTTGGTCCAAGAACCTCCTTTACCTGTTTCCCTCCCTTACCCATGCTTCTGAGAGTGGTCCGCAAAATTGTCAAAGATGGCGTGCACTGC